GCCAGTATGGCACCATGGGTCAGCTCCCTGGTGACCGCAGGGAGGCTCTGCGATGCACGCAGCACACCAAGCGGCTCCGTCAGCGATGCTGTTTGGATGACTTCATGGGATACAACGCTAACTTGGGGTTGCAGTGGGCCTCTGCTGTGCAGCTCATCAAACCCCCCAGCAGTCTGACTTTATTTCCTGCCGAGGCTGCTCTCACTCTGTCTACGGAAGCTCAAGTCCCCCACGCTCAGGAAGCAATTTGTCAAACTTTCAGCCCTTGGTGTAGCTGAGGTCAGCTGGTCAGCTGAGGTCCTGGTCAGCCTAAAGGCCATGCAAACTGGGCTAGTGATTTGGTGGGTTGTAAGAGATGATAGCTGGGACAGCATTTCACACTGTTTTCTAGCATCCTATCTTGGAGTGGGATGAGATTCATATTTAACTTTCCTAAAGACAAGGTAATTTTGTTTTTCAGAGTTATCCATCAGGAGTTCCCTGTGCCTCTGGTATTCCTGAAGAAGCTGTCAGGACTGGTGCTGGCTTTCTCACTGTGAGTCTCTAATTTAGGCTCTATAAACTCTGAGCATCAAATTCTTCATCTGTTATTAACGTATATAACGTATAATCCAAGGTGAGCTGCAGTTAATACCTTGCTGCCAAGGCACTCAAAGCCACAGGATCTGGTGAAGAGGTAACTATTCGTTGTGCTGTCTGAGCAATGGGATTATACTTGATGCCATCTGAAACATCTTGTATTTCAGAATGATGCTACTTTATTATACCCCCCTTGACCCTGTGATCAACTGATTTTAAGAATTAGCTTAGCTAGTTCCCAAGACAGAAGGAACAGGCTATCTTTTTCCCTTCTTGTGAAAACATCAGATTTCTGTTTCTACTCATCTACCAAACAGGATTACCTTCTACACAGGTAACTTGTACTTGTCTGGAAGCGGTCCTAAGCCCAGAGGAGTAGGAATGTATAATGAAAGAAAGGTGGCAGCCTACAGATGGAAATACCAAAAGTGCATTTTGCTACCACAGTTTAATTAATTAGATCCTTTGACAGAACAGAACCTTTCTGCTTTGTTTTATAATTCTCATTAGGTTTTATCTGCACCTGTACACATTGTACATGTAATAATATCCAAAGGCTTCTAAAGAATGAGAAGTGACTTTCAACAATATGAACAGAAGTTTGAAAGACCCTACTTTATTTATTTATTTATTTATTGCTCAGTTTTTGAATGGTCTGGGAATCAAAACTAGCAGGAGAATTAAGTATTAGATTTAAAACTTAAGAAAATATATTGTTATTCACTGTAATGTGTTAGAAAAAATCTAGAATGTAATTGTTTTTATAGAATCTAAAGATTAAAAATTCATTAATATGTAAATGACAATCTATTACAGTAAAAATATAGACTACATGTTTGTAGACAATAGGACTTCCATGTGAAACTTAACAGTGACATTTAAACAAATGTGCTCACAAGCCGAACATCTGCAATATGTTATACTAACTTCTCTGTAACCCGGGAACATTTTATGATGATCAACAAGCATTGTGTAAATCTGCAATGACCCTTATAAAATCAGGCATTTCAGTTTAATATAGTCATTGGTTATCTATGTAATGTTGATGTTAACTGCATCTTTTGATCATCCTTAACCTGAAAATATTCAGGATAAACAACAGGTTTTATAATTAATTAGCTTCTTTCTTAAAAAGCTGAGCTGAAAGCAAGGGATTTAACACTTCCCTGTCCTATTTTCATATGATCCAACAACAAATCCACCAATAAATGGGGAACTTTGAGATACAGTAGTATGGTTTCTTTTTTTTTTAATAAATTTTTGGTAAACCTTTTTAACAGAAACCTTGATGAGCCTTTGTTTTAGAGTGATCACCTGGGTCCAAAACTCCAGCTGCTTTGACATGAAAGACCTCCAGCAGCTCTCCTGGTGCTCTCTTTTCAGGCCTCCCCACCCTTCATCACCAAGGGGCTGCTGATGGACTAAGGGCAGTGAGTGGCTCTGCAGAGCCTACGTGGAACCAGGAAAGTACAGTAAACTTGGGACCATGCACAAAATGTATTTGTATACAGTCAGATTTGAAATTAAAGTACTGACTGTCCTCTTGGGCTTCACCTTGTACAGTTAAATTTGTTATCAAAAGAGTAAAGAAATGAATAGGTTCCGCCGCCCCTTACCCCAGTTCTCACCGTCACGTATGTCTGGATTCTGCATCATGAAACTGTCCCTCTTTGAAATATTCATTTTTGGGGTAGCTATCTAGAGGCAGATGTTTTTGAAATTAAAAAAAAACACAAACAACTTTAGAATCATAGAATCACTTTGGTTGGAAAAGACCTTTAAAAATTATAGGAAACTTTTAGAACCTTTGGGACCTTCTCAGACTTTTAAGTCTAAGTATTTCCTCAAGCAACACAAATGCACTGCACTGTCTGTATTTCTCCAAATAGTATCATACCAGTAAGTATTAATGTAGTATCAGCTGTGAGAATGAACCAAAGATAAGGTAATCAAATCACCTGTGTTTTCAGGAAATCTTTCAGCACTAGTGCATCAGGGTAAGCACTAATCAAAGGCTTAAGTTTAGTTTTTGGTTTTGTTTTTTTTTTTTTTCTGCCATTGACAGCTATTTCACGGAAACGTTGCTCAACATTTAGGTTACAGTGGAAACTTTTTCTTACCACGGGAACTTTTTCAGACAGAAGGTAATAGTGTGAAGATTATAGGAAACCTAATTTTTTTTTTTTTTTTTAAGATTAACTTTACTGTGAATAATCATTTGATATACATAGCAAAGACAACAGTTACACGGGCAAGGCTGAACTGCCATACCTCCTTAATGAAAGAGCGCCGGTGTTATTTTAGTTGTAGAAGTCATGCTGAGGCAGACATTACTACTTTAAATTTCTGGCTTTGCAAGAAAAGCCTTCTAGAAATACTGCATCACTTAATTTTAAGAAGACATTTGACCTTCTGTTCCACTACCACAGCAAGAGCAAGCGGTGAAAGGAGCAGCAGCGTTCGCGTGCGGTGTCCCCGGCGGGGCAGAGCCCCTCGCAGCGGGGGTGGTGGTGGTGGTGCGGGGAGACCCCCGCTGTCTTTCTCGGTGCAGCTCCCCAAAACCTGCTCTCTGATGGGAAACCGGAGGCCGCCCTCGCT